CTGTTGGTGATGTTTTTAGATTAGCCTGTTAACGGATATTAAAAAAAGAAGAGAAATTCCCTTACGAACTATCTAAAACTGGGTCAAATACACAATGGGCTCTCTCAGTAAAGATGAATTTGCAGGAAGGTTTGTGCGAGACAGTCCATAGTTCCCATTGCACCATGCCACATGCGTGGGGGGAGCGATTCTATAGAATATTAAAGAACATCAGCACAGTGAAAGAAATCCACTTCATATTGCATTTACTGTGACTGTAAGCCTTAGATGATTTCTCAACCTCATTAGTCCTATGTATAGACTATAAATTATCCCTGACAATGAGCCAAGGGCAGCAGTATTTAAATAAATGATACTTAGGTATGTAATTTAGAAGTTCCAGTTGCCTTGCTGATTAGATAGCATTATGAAGATTATCATACCAAGGGTTTAGCCTAAGCTTAATAAAATTGAATGTGTCATATATTAAAGAGAGAATAAGATTTGTAACAGCAGACAGGCGTGGGAAGAGACTGCTTTTACATCATTTAACATTCATTCTGCCATTTGCCCAGGTAGTACAGCAGTGAAAAATGAAATGGTGTTGGGTGCTTTTTATTTAAAACCTATGATTAATTTTGCCAAAATGCAGCCTGTACACCTGCAAAGAGGCAGCATGGAAGATAGATGTCTCTCTGGCTGGATGTCCTGCACAAACAGAGGATTGTTTCAACATGGCAGGACTCAGCAATAGTAAGGTACTTTAGGCTCAAGGCCTCAATTTTCAAAACTGTAAAGAGATTCTAAATTCAAAAGGCCAGTTGTTTTTTTTACCTTAATGCATTCCTCGTGCAATTAAGGTAAATAAAAAAACCCCAGCTCTCTTATACTTACCCTGACCCGATCCTTGAACTAGCGTTGTGCTATGAGCACAGCGGCTCTCTTGGCTGCTTTTCTCCTCCTCATGGGGCTTTATAGTGAGTCAAATCATCAGCCAATGAGGAAGGGGGAGCAGGGAGTGGGGCCAAGCCAAGCACTTTGTGTCAATGGATACACATAGTGGGGCTCAGTGTGCTAAAGTGGACCTTGTTATGGGGGCATTCCAGTGGGAGAAGAGGAGAAACCAGAAGCCACATGACAGGGGGACCTGAGGAAGAGGAGGATTGTGGAGCTGCTCTGAGCAAAACCATTTCACAGTAGCAAGAAAATATAACTGTTTTTTTTGATATTTAATAAACAATCAGCGAAGTGCTTTATATTTAGAGAAAGGCATGATACATTACATTAAAGTGTTCCTAACACCCAGGCACCCTGCATTCGACTATTAATCTGGTCTCCCTCAGTTACACCCAGAAACATGGAAATGCAATTAATTTTAGTAAATAAAACTTAGCTAAATACCTTTTCTCATCAGCATTAGTGAGCAGTCTTGTGGACTTCAGCTGTGCACTGGCTAATGCATGGTAGGAGGAAGTTTTCTTTCTGCTCTAGGAGAATCAGAACCCCTGACCTCTGTCTGATTGGCTCTGTGCTGATCCACCATGCACTCACACCACACGTCGCACCCCATGTCACCTCCCAAAAGAAAAACCGTCTAGCAATACACAATAAACTGAGCATGTGCAGAAGGGCTATGTTTTATTCTGTTATAAGCAGTCTGTACTTATCAGTGTAGACATTTGAACAAGAAGAGGGGGCAGAGAAGCACAGGATCAAACAGGCCTTTTTCCACAATTTGCAGAGGATTCAACCCTTCAGTTCCACAGTGAGCATATACAACAAGCATTGCTTTACTGTTGTGGGTTTAGTAACACTTTAAAACAGAAAGACAAACAGTTGACATAGCTTAACAGAAGGTTTAAGGGATAACACATTATAAAAAAAAAAAATCCAGTGTCACCACTTAAAATACATGCAGAATGTATATACATCATTCATGGGCTCAACCAAAACAGTGTTAGTATAAAGAGAAAGCTCTAACTCCTCAGGGAGGGGAGAATTTGATTGGGGGGTGGGGGGGAGCAAAGAGAGCACGGACATTGAGGTGGGGAATAACTAGAAAATATATGTGAGAGCCAAGGGGGTACACACACACCACCCAAATTACAGTTGGATGGGACCGAAGGGCCTAAACCAGACCCATCCGATTGGGACACCCACGGCTGCCATACATAATCATATTTCCAGGGGCAACACCTCGAGTAATATATGTCAGCTTGTAGAGGGGGGCTGTAGCAGTGTTAATCATGGTTTTCCCCATGAGGACATGCCTGGGATGCAGTATATGTCCATTTTTACAAATGATGTTCCTTCTTAGTGTAGAATAAAAGGTAATAAAATCAATAATTTACCCACGATGGGGACGCTGACCGTCATACATGAATCCCTAAGAGAACCAACTCTGGAGCTTTAAAAAAGAGGATCGACAGCTGAAGTCTAAGGTTGATAGATCAAAAATGTCTGACCAAAAACCATTAATCCTAGGACATTCCCCAAAACATGAAAATATGAGCCCCAAATTAATCTGGGCAACAAGGGCAATTTGGGTCCCCTTCCCGTACATTTTTTTGTAGTCTCATAGGGGTTATAGTAAATATCGATGAATAAAATTTAGTCTGGATTCATTTACCCATAGAGGAGACCACTAGTTTAGGGCATTGTTCAAGACAGTGCTCCCAATCTTCTCTATCCAGGGAAGGAATATCCCCGTTCCAGAGGTCCCATAACCTTTCAATTTCTGGGGAGAGTCAGTATGCCCGCAGGCATAATATCATGGAGAGTCTTCACCTCGTATCGCGCCAACTGTTTTTTATTTTTAATTTAAAAAATAGCATTTACAATCACTTAAATAATAAATATGTCTTTTTATTTTGAGCAATGAGACTGTAATGTGAGCTTTACAGTGAATCACTGCACATCCAGTCTGTCAGGGCTCCCAGGTGTGACCAGAGGTGTGTGACTGACGCAGGGAAACGCAGACTTCAGATATGTGATAAACAATATAATTTATTAACACTAACCATACAAACATAAACGCAGTGCAATACTAAAACAATAATACAGTGCAAACAAACCAAACCAACCACCCACAGATAACAGTACATACAAGCAAGCGTCGTCAGGCAGGCCGGGTCAATATCAATAGGGCAGGTAGGTACAGGGGAGCAAGCAAGCGGAGATGGGTCGGGGTCACAGGCCAGGTTCAGCAGGTAGCTAGCAGCGTAGTACAGAGGGGATCAGGCAGAGGGATGGTCAGGGTCACAAGCCAGGGATCAGAACAGGTAGCAAGCAGCGTGGTACAGTGGGTCAGGCAGAGGATGGTCAGGAGCGAGACCGGGATCAGAGCAGAGAAGTCAGCACGGCAGGTTCAGATCAGGCAGGGTCAGCAAAGGAACAGAAACAGGATGCAGGACAGATACAGGGCCCAGGACAAACACAACACCAAGGCAGAGTCTGCAAGTTCTGGCCATCCCTTAAATACACCAGTATCATCAGTTCCAGGTGTTAGCTGGCTGAAAGGTTGAGTCTCTGATTGCTGGGAGCACCCGCTGGCCAGCCCTGGTACTGCAGATCAAAAAGCAGGTGAGTCCCACCATTGCTGGCCAGTCCATTCCTGACAGTACCCCCCCCCCAAGGAGCGGCCTCAGGACGCTCCAAACAGTCCTAGCTGGGCAAAATGTTCCACCCGCCCGGGTCTGGTAACTGGCGGGATATCAAAGACTGGCACACCGGGGCAGGACTCCGGGCAGCGGCACACCAGGGCTGGACTCCGGGCAGAGGCACATCGGGCTGGACTCCGGGCAGAGGGCACACCGGCTGGAACTCCGGGCAGAGGCACACCGGGCTGGACTCCGGGCAGAGGCACACCGGGCTGGACTCCGGGCAGAGGCACACCGGGCAGGGGGCCGAGGCAAACCGGGCAGGACTCGGGGAGGCACACCGGGCAGAGACACCGGCAGAGGCACACCGGCTGGGACTCCGGGCAGAGGCACACCGGCAGGAGGCACACCGGGCAGAGGCACATCGGGCTGGACTCCGGGGCAGAGGCCACATCGGGCAGGAACTCTCCGGGCAGAGGCACATCGGGCTGGACTCCGGGCAGAAACAGAGGCACATCGGGCAGGACTCCGGGCAGAGGCACATCGGGCTGGACTCCCGGGCAGAGGCACATCGGGCAGGACTCCGGGCAGAGGCACATCGGGCGGACTCCGGGCACACATCGGATTACCAGGCGAAGCAGCAGGCAGCGGGCCACCAGGCGGAGCAGCGGGCACCCCGGGCCAGGGCGACGGGCACGGGCCCCCGGGGCGCCGGGGGCCCCCGGGAGGGTGACGGGCATCGGGCCCCCGGGCGGGGCGGGCACACGGGCCCCCCTGGCGGGGGCGGCAGGGTCTCCAGGGGCCCGGATGCGGGGCGGCGGGGCCGGACCCCCCAGGCGGGAGGCATCAGGCATCGGACCCCCCAGGCGGAGAGCGGGGCAGGCGCCGGACCCTCAGGCGGTAGCGACAGGTCTCGGGCCCTCAGGCGGAGCGGCGGGCGCCGGGACCCCCAGGCGGAGCGGGGGCGCCGGACCCCCAGGCGGAGCGACAGGTCTCGGGCCCTCAGGCGGAGCGGCGGGCGCCGGACCCCCAGGCGGAGCGACAGGTCTCGGGCCCTCAGGCGGAGCGACAGGTCTCGGGCCCCCAGGCGGGGCGGCGGGCGCCGGACCCCCAGGCGGAGCGGCGGGCACCGGACCCCCAGGCGGAGCAACAGGTCTCGGGCCCCAGGCGAAGCGGCGGGCACCGAGTCACCAGGCACGACAGTGGGCTCCGAGTCAACTGGCATGACCGCTGGCACTGGGTCAGACATTGGATCGTCTGGCTGGACAGCGGGCATCGGGTCACCAGGCATCAGGTCATTTGGCTCGACAGCGGGCACCGCGTCATCTGGCAAGGCAGTGGGCTCCGAGTCAACTGGTATGACCGCGGGCACTGGGTCAGACATTGGATCGGCTCTGATGGACAGCGGGCCATCGGGTCACTAGGCATCAAGTCATTTGGCTCGACAGCGAGCACCGCGTCATCTGGCAAGGCAGTGGGCTCTGAGTCAACAGGCACGACAGTGGGCACCGGGTCATCAGGTACCGGATTGTCTGGCTCGACAGCGGGCTTCGGGTCACCAGGTGTATGACAGCGGGCACTGGGTCACCAGGCATCAGGTCATTTGGCTCGACAGCGGGCACCGCGTCATCTGGCAAGGCAGTGGGCTCCGAGTCAACTGGTATGACCACGGGCACTGGGTCAGACATTGGATCGTCTGACAGGACAGCGGGCATCGGGTCACCAGGCATCAGGTCATTTGGCTCGACAGCGGGTACCGCGTCATCTGGCAAGGCAGTGGGCTCCGAGTCAACAGGCACGACAGTGGGCACCGGGTCACCAGGCATTGGATCGTCTGGCTCGACAGCGGGCATCGGGTCACCAGGTACGACAGCGGGCTCTGAGTCAATTGGCACGATAGCGGGCACCGGATCAGGTACCGGATCATCTGGATCAACAGCGGGCATCGAGTCAACTGGCCTAATAGGATCGTCAGGCTGGATCAGTTCATCATGCTGGGTAGAGGCATCAGGCTGAATGCCGGCGTCCGGCTGAGTAGAGGCTTCTCCAGGCCGAGTAGAGGCTCCAGGTCCGAGTAGAGGCTCCAGGGTCCGAGTAGAGGCTCCAGGCGAGTAGAGGCATCAGGCCGAGGCATCAGGCTTATCGAGTAGAGGCATCAGGCCGAGTAGAGGATTCAGGCTGAACCACGGAAGGCAGGTTCACCGGTTTGGATACTGGGCAGGATGGTATTTGGTTGGAAAGAATTTTCGCTTTTTTCTGGTTTTAACTACTGGAGCACTGCAAGTAAACGCAGGTCTGCAAACAAATGGAGCAGCTGGAGACAGAAAAGAACTGGAGGATGGAACAGGAGAGGGAGCAGTTGCTACAGAGGGCTTTTTTACAGGGTTAAAGGCAGGATAGGATAGGTGCAGCGAGTGGGAACAGGGTACTGACATGCGGTAGATAGCCAAGTATACTGGGCTGTAAATGGGGGGAGTTGTTGGGAATACAGGAGTAGAGCTTTGAGGAAATAGATTAGAAGCAGGACTGGGTCTTTGTAAGCTGACTGAGGCTGGGTGCAACAAGTCTGTCCATGTCTGCAGTATGGGTTGAACAAAGCTGAGCTTACACAAAGCCTGTCTGACCAAAGAGTGCACTGCGTTTATACAATCTCTTAGTATCTGTGGTGAACATGTGGAATAACGCTCCAGAAAGTAACCCTAAACATCATCCTCTAATAACCACACCAGGGACTCTACCTGGTCTGCACTAAATGGTGGCAAAAATTCATCCCTGCATTCGGGGAAACTAGATGAAACCAACTCAACACAAACCTTAATCAATGGCTGCACCATAGAGAAATCTGTGCCCTGATCTACTAGAACATGAGCGAGCCGTATACATTCTAGCAGTTCATCCCGGGTATACTCCTTCAGAGTCTGATAAGCATACTCCCTGTCATCAAACACTAGCAGAGATAAATACTCAACCTCATCAAGATCCATCCTTCCCAGCAACAAGCCAAGATGGCTTCCCTGTGCAGCCACTTCTGGTCTGGATTGGCCTTGGTGTAATGTCAGGGCTCCCAGGTGTGACCAGAGGTGTGTGACTGACGCAGGGAAACGCAGACTTCAGATATGTGATAAACAATATAATTTATTAACACTAACCATACAAACATAAACGCAGTGCAATACTAAAACATAATACAGTGCAAACAAACCAAACCAACCACCCACAGATAACAGTACATACAAGCAAGCGTCGTCAGGCAGGCCGGGTCAATATCAATAGGGCAGGTAGGTACAGGGGGAGCAAGCGGAGATGGGTCGGGGTCACAGGCCAGGTTCAGCAGGTAGCTAGCAGCGTAGTACAGAGGGTCAGGCAGAGGGATGGTCAGGGTCACAAGCCAGGGATCAGAACAGGTAGCAAGCAGCGTGGTTACAGAGGGTCAGGCAGAGGGATGGTCAGGAGCGAGCCGGGATCAGAGCAGGAGAAGTCAGCAGCGGTTCAGATCAGGCAGGGTCAGCAAAGGAACAGAAACAGGATGCAGGACAGATACAGGGCCCAGGACAAACACAACACCAAGGCAGAGTCTGCAAGTCTGGCCATCCCTTAAATACACCAGTATCATCAGTTCCAGGTGTTAGCTGGCTGAAAGGTTGAGTCTCTGATTGCTGAGAGCACCCGCTGGCCAGCCCTGGTACTGCAGATCAAAAGGCAGGTGAGTCCCACCATTGCTGGCCAGTCCATTCCTGACACAGTCTCTCCTTTGCAGGCATTGCATTTCTATTTTCACTGACATTATATTTTCATATATGAACTAGGGGAAGTATTGTAGTTGAACATTATCATCATCTCTTTTGATAGTCTAGATCAGCCATTCTCATCCAGAGTTCCAGGGAACCCTAGGGTGCCTCCAGACATTCCTAGGGGTTCCTTGAGCTTTGGCTGATGGACCTCCCATCTGATGGTGCCTGCATAGTTTCAGGACCAGTGCCACTTGGCAAAGCCAACAGGATGACACCAATTATCATTTTAGCTGTTTGTAAAGGTGCCATTCTGACCACCATTGCAAGGGTTGCATTCTTCTGACCACCAATCTAACAGGCATTTTTGCCATTGACTTCCAAAGAACTGGTTTTAGTAAAGGTTCCCTCGAGATCTGAAAATTATTTTAGAGGTTCATCTGGGTTAAAAAAGGTTGAGATAGAGTAAGGAAGGGTCGTGCCCTGAAAATATTATTGTCACTGGGTGAATGTCTACTAATTTGACAATAGGAGAATGATGCCCAAAGTGTTTTATGCAAATTGCTGGTATTTTGTCCATAAAATCTTTGACAGATATCCCCCATAGTTTCATTTGTGAACTATTGCAGTTTCACTTTCACAGATCCCTCCAACCCATAGGACTTTTATCAAAAGATATAATGTAAATTTATTCAAGACGTTTTCTTTAGTTTTGTATAGAATGGGGAAGGGTTAGGACCCTTGCCAGGTTTAGTGCTATCTGTGCCCCCATGAGAGAGTTTTTACCTTGCATCATTAACCCTTCAAAGAAAGTTCAATTAGGGGAAGTCCCGAGTCTGATAGTCAGCACCTGAACACATGTCCATACTCAAAGTCCTCCACTTTACTTTGGTTTCAATGTTAACCAGGCCCATGCCACCCATGAAGCAATTTAAGGTAGTGGGGGAAGGGGGGCCATCTGGAGCTTTTTCTACTGAATTCAACTTGGAGACCTGAACCTATTAACCCCTAGCAAGCTGGAAGTTCAGAGATAGGAAAATGACGGAGAATCCTTGCAGTAAGATTTGTACAGGACACAGCAGCCTGCACAAAGTGGGACATACTTCATTACAGATAAGTTAGGTCACTATAGCTGCATGCATATCTTTTAGTGAAACTTCAGCTTGAAATCTTTAAGGAAACTAAAATTAGCCAAAAAGCTGTTCCTGCAAAAGGGACTATATACTCCTCTCTTTCACAGCCCATGATGTCAAACTGTGTCGTGGCATGTGCACAGATACTGTATGATGAGTGAGAATTGTCACCCTAGGGCAGTAAGTGAGTTACTAGCAGGAATATCATGTGAAAGTAAAGAAAAAAAAAAGAGAGAAAACTATGCAGCCCATATAAGACTGGTAAGCTGAAATATATTACATTTTTGCTTTTGGGTTTATATGCACTTTATTTACAGTAGCAACCAAGTACAATAACTACCAACTTTAGCTCTTTGAAAGAGCTGCCAATACAGGGGGGTAGAGGCAGTACCCGTGGCAGGGGCTTTCTGTTAGCATTTCCATTTGGCCAGTGATGTCACCCGCATGTTGCACATGCCTGGCTGAAGACTTGCCCACAGCTTCAATGTGCACACAGTGTGGGTGACAGGTGGACTTTCCCCATCCCATTTGCACAGGGGCCCAAACACACATTCTGTCCAGGGTTGTACAGAGTGTGGACCAGTCTGGTTGAATAGGCATTGCATGAACGCTCAACTCGTCCTGACCATTTGAAGCGCTTAGTAAATCTGAAACAGATTGTAAGATTAGATTGTGCTACTATAAGCAGCTTTACTTAATGACTGACCAGTGCACCATCACTATTCTAAAAGGCATGATTGTTATTGACTTTCTGGCATGAGAAAGACCCTTGACCAAAGCCTAAACCTGAAACCTGTACAGAGCCCCTAATTACCAATGGTGGCTCTGCAATTTAAGATTTTGTTTCCTATGATGTTGGAGATGCTGGGTACACTTGTGTCACTGAAACACAAAGAATGGGAAAAAGAAAAGCATAAAGAGTGGTAGGTCCATAAAATGAGACAATATAAAACCTTGTATAAAAGGACGCATTTGGTTTTGCCGTAAGACAGAGAGACTGAACTGCCTATAAGATACCCTTGAGAGAGAATGGAGTACACTTGTGAGGCTGCATAACTTGGATGAGCCAGCAGACGTGCCAGGAATGTGAGGATGTGAGAGATTAACAGTGTGCGCTCATAGAGGAATAAATGCCTCATGTTCCTTCTGAGAAAGAATAAGATGTCTGTTATGTTTTACACACAGCCAGTAAGCAATACAGATCTATTCTCTTTTGCTAGCAGCAGTGTTCTCATGCCAAACATTATGTCAAGCCAATGCAATGACGCGAGCAACTGAGCTTGTAAATGCAAAGTAATGTTTCTCTAAAGAGTGACCCAGTGTTTCTATGAGAATACACAATTGTGCATCGTATATAGCTAGCACAGATTAGCAATCCAGCATTTAAAATTTGTTTCTGAACTGCTGAGCCTCAGACAATAAATTTTGATTCCGCAGGCATTCTTGTTCTGGGAAGTAGCCCACTCTGCAGTTTCCTAAGGATTGTTATTTGTATCTGGTGGCTGTGGTCCTCTAGCTTGTAAAGTTTTATGTAGATTTTAAATTTCCGACTCAGAAAAGAAAATACCACTGACACTATTTGAAGCAGTATTCTTACAATTCAGGCACATAAGCTTACAATGGATTTTGCAGTGTTTGCATTCACACTGACCTTACAATATAACCTCAACACTATTTCAGGAAACTCTTTCTGTGAAGAACACTTGCTGTTTATGGAGTCCTTGTGGACCTCATGGCTGTAACAGTTTTTCATGTGTTTAAACTGAAGTTTAGCTAAAATATTTTTCTCTACAGCTTTAATTATATTATTTACCTGTAATGAAGTATGTCCCATGATGTGCAGGTTACTTGATTCTGTAGAAATCTTTACTGCAGGGCTGTCCTTTCCTCTTCCTGGGGCCTAAATTCATGTTCTGTAGGGGTTACTAGCTTTGGGCTGCCAGACCCAGCTGAACTAAAGATGATCTGATGGAGGAACACCCCTTCCTGCTCTTTCCTCTATTGAGAAAAGTTATTTCACTGATTACATTGCCTGTAACACTACACGTGAACGGTAAGAGTCTGATCAGTCACGGGATTCTCTCCTCCATTCACAAATCATGTTACAGGCAGTGTAATCAGCGAAATAACTTTTCTCCATGGATTAGAGGGAAGGAGGGGGAATGTCCATGTTGGATCATCTTTAGTGCAGCTGAGTCTGGAGACCCAAAGTTTGGTAATCCCCACAGCTCTGGAGGTTCATCAGCAGGAAGAGGACAGGGTAGCCTGGCAGTGAAGATTTCTGCAGAATCCAGAAGCCTGCACATCACAGGACATCTTTTATTAAAAGTAATGTAACTAAAGC